CACTTGTTCTCATCTATCTGTTGCAGGGTGATTTTCAAGGCGCCCTAAAGTTCTCCTATACAAGTGGTGATTTCATGGATGAATCTTGTGACATCATGTTGGAAGATAGACTTGTTTAGGAATATTTTGCAACAACTTGCATAGCCAGGCACTATTAACATCAGCGATCCATCTTTGTTGAGGGAACAACAGACCACAGAGTGGAATATTAGTGGATTATCAAAGATTTTGTTTATTCAAATAGAAATCAATTACCAGAATTCAAAGAGAAAATGAGAAAAGCAATGTTTCTGATAGCACATTATAGAATAGCACTCTTTTTGTTTCTTTATAATATTTTCCTGTAATCTGATGGTACCTTTTAAGAAGTTTAAGGAGCTATATCTACTTGCTTAGGACTAAACATCAATAAACTAAGCAGAACTTAGACATGTAAACAGATCGGGGTGAAATTCAGCAGTTTCTAACAGGTTCTAGAGAACTGGTAGCGGGAATTTTGCGTAGTTTGGAGAACCAGCAAATACCACATATGGCTAGCCCCTGAGTGGGAGGGAATGGATATTTTGCAGTATCCTTCCCCTGCCATGCCCACCAAGCCACACCCACAGAACCAGTAGTAAAAAAATCGAATTTCACCACTGAAACATATGCGTGGTTGTTGTGCAAATAATGATATAGGTTCTGTTGCCAATGATGAAAAATATCTGCTTTTATAGTTTTTATTAATTTTATTCTGTATTATTAAATTGTATTGTAATAGCTATAAACAATAAAATATAATTGCAGGAAAACTTCATATGTAGAGCATCCTGCTACACTCAGCTAATTTGTGTTTGTAGAGAAAATGCTATACTGACATCATAAGGAAAGAAACTGCACTCTAATACCTGCATGGCAAATTTTACACTTCTTTTTAGTACCTGGGAAGGACTTTTTATTCAGCTAAAGCTCTTGAAGTCCAGATCAGAAGCCCTGTAATCTTCATGTAATCTTCGAAAACCACTTAGAAGACAAATGTCAAAAACATTTAGAGACAGAATCAAGCATAGCAATTATGGTTTCAAAGTATAACCAGGGATAGAAGCAATATTTCTTTACTTTCTTAGCATATGAAATATGGAGGAAATGGTTTCCCTAAAATTAAGAACTATTCTTTATTGCACAAAATACATGAGTACAGATGTTTGAAGAATATACTAAAAGGTTATTTGCTATACCTTGCTGGTCATAAATTGACTACTTGCTTGCTTGTTGATTACACTGCAGGATTATATGTTTGTATAAAATAGTCTCATAATGCTCCATGAAGCTTACTCACTTTTACATTAGTTTAGTACTGCAAATGGCTGCCAGCATGTCTCCTACTGCTACACACACACACACACACACACACACACACACAGGATATGAGCCAGTAATTAGCAAATGCACTAAATGATTACAATATGCAAATTATAATTCCTCACTGGAAAATTATTTTCCTTGCTAATTTTTTTTACTTTTTTTTGAAGGACTTTTATCTATTTCATGGAGGGATAGGGGAAACTAAAATATAGCCTAGTGGAAAAATACAGGTCAAGTGATATTCTTTGATATCCTTTGGCTTAAATCATAACCTGCATTAAAGTTTTCATTTTTAGGTACACTAATGGTTTACCTAGGGTCATCTCAAAATGAAGTAATGAAGTTGTATTGCTGAGGAAAATAAACTACCTGGAACACTATTTTTTTTCCTTTCAGTTGTCTGAGATTTAACTACAATTCTTCCAGTTATAAATTGAAGTGGTAGCTGCTGCTTCTGCTGACAATATCAAATACTCTCAAATGCCATGGCTATAGTGTTAACTAACAGCACATGCTTTATTTCAAATTAATTGTGACAAATTAAGAAATTGCTAGCTTGCAGATCTGCGCTGTTGAATAGTGGATGCTACTGTTTTTGTTTCAGTAAAAATATTAGGAGGAAAAAATTGCCTTGCATTTGATCTATTACAGCATACAATAATTTTGCAAGAATATGATCTTAACACTGACTCTTTTAAAAACTGGGCTGAAGTTTTAAAAATTAAGATGCAATTTAGAAGATGTTTCCTTGTATCTATAATGTGTAGGCTACTGAAATAAATTGTGTTTGGCATACAATATGTACTATTATTCTGCTATTAAGTTATGATTATTTAGGCAGTTGATACTAAATTAAACAACTGATTTCTAAGAGACTGTGATCTTAAAGACTAAAAGACATTGTAAATTGTACAGTACTTGAAAGTTTATACTAACTCACCTTTTTTTTTAAATAATGAATAGAGCTTCAAGTATCAGGATAATTTTCAATAACACTAAGAATTGTACAAAGGAGACAGTCTTCATAGCAATAGCACTTAGACTTATATACTACTTCACAGTGCTTTATAGCCCTCCCTAAACAATTTACAGAATCAGCATNATAGATAGATAGAGTATATGTATGTGCTGATGAATAAATACAGGGAGACTAGTATAGATCTATTCCAAGCTATTTAGCTCTCATCAGGTAGCCATAACCTGGGATACTGGGATTTGAACCTGGGCTGTTTTTACATGTTAGGCACTTCTATTAGCCACTAACCCACAAGCTCTCCTCCCTTATCAGCTGAGCCACAGAAATAAGTAAGTGTTATGTCAAATAACCTGGTATGCCCAAATATGGGACAGAACATACTTTCCTTTTGCCTTTCAGCTCCACCCTAGGAGTCTTCCAGGCAGGAAACCATTTTTTGTGTACATTGTGTACATTTTTATGTACATACATACATACACACACATGTGCATGTGGTGTATATAAAAAGATAACAGGGCTTTTCTCATGTAATTATGGTTGTAATATTGACTTATTTTTCATTCTCTTTTTGTACACGTTTTGGACAATAACATATGTCACTAATATTACTAAATATACATGGGAGAAGTCTCTAGCTTTAAGAAGAAGAATGACATTGCCTTAATCTGCATTTTTATCAATTTTAATATTTTTACTGTGGCTTTATCATTCATGAATTATGTTAAATTATATTCAGCTTTATTTTTTAATTTAAGCCTTTCATTATATTATTAATGGCTTGAATTGGCTTCCTTGGGCAATGATATAATATAAATCAATTAGACAAAGGAATAATGTGAAGATCCACACATTGTTAAACAATGGCTGTTATTAACAGTGCATGTTAAACAATGTGTGAAACTGAATTGAACTATGGCATTATAACTTCAATCCCCTGATTTACTTTAATGCATTTATATCCATTATAAAATATCTTCATATTTAAAATATTATGTTTTTAGGGTATAATATACTTTTTATTAGAATAACTGCAGATGATTAGCATTATTAGAAATAAATGCTATAAACAAATAGAATAGTGAAGTATATAATTATTCAGCTAGCACTGAGAACTGACAAGCCCTTTTTTGTTGTTCTGAATGTGTTTT